AGAGTGAGAGTGAAATGTGTCTGGGGCCATGATGATGATGTTTTGGCATTTCATTTTGCTGCCATTGTTGGAGTCCACGTTTTGACAGCCATAGCCAAATTCAACAGAATATTTCAATCAATTGTGCATGTATGTGTGTGTGTGGGTGTGTGTGGGTGTGTGTGTTTGTGACGCTGACTTTTACAAATTGAATTTATTTATTTGATTTGACAATTAATTCCAAGCAATTTGCGTTTCGAGTTAGATTAATAGCTATGTATAAGCATTTACTTTAAAGCTGGCTAGGAGCAGCATTTAAAATAGCCGAAAACCAGCTGGAAAATAGCTCGAAAAAAATCACCAAAACACACAAACACACACACAGTTGTATACGCTGTTAAATTGTATGTCACTTAGCGCAGCGAGAAACGAGAACGAGGCAATAAATACTCGTATATGTTGTACATGTGTGCAAACATACATCAACATATGCGGCGCAATAAATTTTTACAACAGCAGCAGACCCCGAGCTGGGTTAAGGGAATTTACATATAAGACGGAAGGGACAGAGTATGAGATACCCTGTAATAGATATACATGCAAGAGAGGCTAAAGCTTAACAGCAATATGTGCAACCTCAGCTCATTTTACAGTAAATAGTATTTCATTCGCACTAATACAGCCATGATTTATATATATATGTGAAGCATTTCTTAGCTCGTCAGCTAAGACATTCGCAAACTCTGCCCGCTGACCCACATATCAAATAGCTCACTTGATATACCCCTTGAAATGTCAATTGTATAGGGCATAACAAGCTGCATTGTGGTAGGCCCCGCTACCCACCCCGCCACGCCCCTACAGCTGCTGCCGCCACTCACCAAAAAGTATGCCATGCGCAAAGTTCATTGCTCCAAATGTTTATGTTTATGGGCCTAGGCTTATGCGCATTTTATGCGCGAAATCAAGAAAAATGAAAATGCATTTTCGCAAAGCCTCTTTTTTTTCTGTTATTTGTTTTTCGCTTCTGTGGGTCCCCACACAGCCAGAAAGCTGCTCTGACTGTCTGTTTGTTTGACTGCGGCTGCACACATTTCAAGCCAACTATATGCCGTCTCTCTGTGTGTGTGTGTGTGTGTATGTGTGTGCTCTGTTTGCCTGGCTAACACCAGTTGTTGCCAGCTGTCTTTACCTTACTCTTTCTATTCTTTCTGCCTTTCCTTTTTTTTTTTTGGGGTATTTTTACACTTTGGCTGTCGGCCAGCTTTTCGGGCCTGGGTCAACTAATGAAAACTTCAAACAGCTGGCCCAATAGCTAGCAAAGTTTTCCACTTTTTATACGCGCTTACGTCTGCCTGAGGGTATATTGGTTTTGTGGCTAGCCCTGCTGTCCATCAGTAGGCGGAGCAAGTCATTCTGCTGCTGTCTGAAACTTTTGGGGTATATCAAGTATACTTTACCCAACTAGCTAAGTAGTCAGCTTGATTAGAAACAAGTTTATGCATGCGAGCTTGGCCCTATTGAAGTATAGTTTTCAAAGCAATAGACGTCAGGTGCATATGTCACACTCTCATTAGTACCTCTAAGAACCTTCTACCCTATATCTAAGTGATCTACTTCATATGAATATAAACTAGCTGTCACAGCTAAAGAGCTGCATTAGCTCTCTGGAGAAAGAGACAGAAAAAGGGGGAGTGAGTGCTGTTAGGGCGTGACAAATCGAAAGCTCATGAACGTGCATTAAGTAGTCAATTAGGCACAACTTCGTTACCTTCAACTTCTCTCTTTTAGCCTGGCCTAAACGCTCGGCATTCATAATGCAGGTGAGTGCGGCTGGCTAGCAACGCCAATTGCCGCAAACAGGTTCAGCTAATTATTGTTAAATAGCCAATTTGCCAACACGAAAGTTCTATTATGCACACATATAAAGATTTATATATAGATATAAAACTATGTATATATAAAGTTCAACCAGCAGCGCGCTGACAGCAGGCAATGCAAGTTTCATGTGGGCCAAAGAAAGAGCAAGCTCAGCTAAAATACACAGAACCACACACACACACACAGCCACACTCTCACATGTGGTGCACACACCTGGCTGTTTGGGCAGGTGGGGGCGTGGCCTGTGTATATGTGGCAATAATTTTTGGCTAGCTGCTTTGTTTGCGCGCACCGCATTGTAGCCAAGTCAGCGCCAAAAGTCATAGACACTTGCCACTCGGCCCGCCGCAATGCTTGTTGCCAGGTGCGCAACAACAACAACAACAACAGCCACCCGTACAACAAAGACAACCCGTCGCACCCTGTGCGGGTCTAACCGTAAAGCAGCCAGAGATAATCGCCCACGGCATGTTCGAATTCCATTTGGGGTTTGTTTTCTGCTTCTCTTTCCTTCATTCTTTTCTTTTTCTCTCACCACTCTTTCCACTTTCGGCAGCGGCACTCTATTATTATGGAGCTTGGCATTTAATTTAGATTAACATGCCCCAACACCCAGCGCCAAATCGCTTAAACTGCAAAGCCGACCTTAAAGCATTATACGCCGTCTTTTTACAATTTTACGTATGTGCACACATCAAAAAAAAAAAAAAAAAAAAAAGAAAAGAAAGCGAAAGAAACGCCAAGTTAAGATGGGAAAACCAACAGCACGTGTGCTTTTACTTAACTTAAGCCAATTGTTTAGACTTTTACTTATGGTTTTATCAGTTACAAGCAGAGATATATATATACATATATAGATGTGTGTGTGTATATAACGACCCATAAAATTGTGCGCCAAGTTCTTTTATTCGGCAAATGAGTTTGTTTCGAAAAGTACGTTAAAAAGTTTCCTTATCGAATTTCAGATATAGACATAGGCGCAAGGTTTATGGCAGCCCTCGTTGGGCAATTTATGAATGCACACACACAGTCGCACACACACTTGCACACACACTCGACTACACACTCGACATAGTGCATATTAAGCCCATGCAAATCAACGGCCCAAAAGTATGCAACACTTTTTGCGTTACACTTTTGGCAAATGGTTTTTCGTTCCTGCTCGATTGAATGGCAGCAAAGCGATGGATGGGAATGAGGATGGGGATGAAGAGAGATGGAAGTCATAACGCAAAGATGTGTCAAATTGTGGCATGCAAGACGAGCAGATACCCTGTTATGATATAGTTGTTTTTATGGGAGAGGAAATAGGAAGAACTTTCGGTATATTAAATGAAGAAGAGAAAAGAGAAGCACAATAGGCATAATAATTAAAGAGAATAGTAATATTTGACTGGAGATAGCCTTCTAATACATTTTAAGGCAGATATTATTAGCATATTGTCAAGAAGATAGATATCAAGTTAGATAGATATCAAGATTATCAAAAAGAAAACTCTAAAGTCAAACATGCTTCAGCTTTTTGCTGACAAAAGAGTTTTCTGCATTAGTATAAAAATATACTTATTGTATAGAGTTTAGTATAAAATGAAGAAGAACAAGTCATCGATAAGTTCAATTTATAAACATACACAGCAAAGAGATCATCAGAATGTTATCTACACTTCAGACAGTCAAACAGCACTCGATGGACTTCCCAGCAGATGCTCATTTATTTGACTCTCTATTACAGATTACTCTCTCTTTGAAATGAGTATTAAGAGAAAAGCAAGAACTTATCGATAGCCTAAATAGATAAATAACCGATACACATAGATCAACAAGTCAAAGACTCTAGAGAGACAAACAACTTGAGTTGACTGCAGATGTTCATTTCTCAGCTGTCTTCAGTTTGTAACACACATTGCCAGTCTAGCCTGCTCAGCCATTTGGCCTTTATACAGGGTACAAACAGGGAAGAGAAAGTATCAGTGTGTACAAAACCGTTACAGTTGCTGTTGCTGCAGCAGTTGCAGTTGCCGACGTTGGCAGCAATTTATTTACGCCAGGCTTTGCGGTTCTTTAGATGCAAGGCGCAAAAACCCAAGCTGTAAAATAACAAGAGTATGCGAGAGAGTGTGTGTGTGTGTGTGTGTGCATGTGTGTGCTAGTGTGTGTTTGACTGCTGTTGTTGAAAGTGGAGCATACAAACAGATGTAGTTACTGCTGCTGCTGCTGTTAGCATGACGAAGCATAGCGACTAGGCACACACACACACACACACACACACGCACACATGTGTGTGCCACTTTCCGCTGCATGCAACGCTAAGCGTTTGCATTAGTGGCAATGAGGTAGCAAAATAATAAAAAACCGAAGCGAACGCAGAAGTAAAGAATTGATGCAAGCAGCGGCACTCGGGACATATTCCATTACGTCAACTGTCAAACATCTCTGCAGCAGCGCTGACGCTTCGCTCATAAGCGGCAAAAATCGCATTTGGCTCACTGTCCGCAGCAATTTTTCAATTTTCCAATTTTCAATCTTCAATTTTTCATTCGGCAGTTTTACCAGCCATTGCAGTTTGTTTTTTTATTCTCTCTCTCTCTCTCTCTCTCTCTCTCTCTCTCTCTCTCTCTCTCTCTCTCTCTCTTCCGTCCGATTGAGAGACTTCGACAGTTGCGTGGCTATAAACAACAAAAGGCACTTCACAGTTGACACTTTGATTCTTATATTTTTTGTTAGACAATTCCGAGGGGAGCCAAGAGACCAGGCGCAATGTTTCTGCAGGTACCACGGGGCGTATGAGTGCGCGCATTGTGTGTATCTATGAGAGTGTGGTTGGCTTTTATATGGCATAACAAAAGCTTATCGCCAGCATAATAGAGACACGCGTCTGTGTAATAAAGTAGCAAGCAGCCAGGCAGCCAGGCAGCCAGGCGAGCAGTTGAACAGTCGCGCAGGCAGTCAGTCAGTCAGTCGGGGCATTATCATTAACATTATTATTATTATTATTATTATCATTACAAAAACAGCGCTTTGTTCGTATATATTTCTATGTATGTATGTTTCCTGGCAACTTAAGTGACTTTTTGTTCCCTCTCTCTCTCTCTCTCTCTCTCTCTCCTCGACTGTTTTTCACACTCTTTGGCATTGTTAAGCAGAGCTCAAAGCGGAAATCTACGGACCCAGCGATCTGATGGTAAAAACGGGCAGCGACATTAATTTAACCTGCAAAATAATGCAGGGACCACACGAGCTGGGCAACATATTCTGGTACAAAGGTGCGTATGCGTAATAACTTTCAGTCCTTCACCCCCCTCTGTTTGCCTCACGCAATTTAAACAATTCAATTTGCATCTGACATTCACATTCCATGTGCTTTATTCTTATATCTTATATCTTCTATCTTCATCCGCCTCTGCTCTCCTCCTGTCCTCTTACAGGCAGCGAAATGCTCGATGGCAAGCACGAGAACGATATCGACAGCTCCATGGCACGCATACTCGTCGAGGATGATTGGTCGGATGGCTTGACTTCCAGGTATGTGTGACTGAGGGCATCTTCAAATAATGCCCAAGCAAACATCTATTTCAGCTATTTGCATTCGAATGCCTCACACTTAATTAAGCTGAAGAAGCCCCACACAATGTAGAGTGCTGAGGGTAGTCGAGTGTCTTTCGGGGTCGGGTGGGACGAGCCCGGTGCTCGAACAGTTAAAGCAATGCGAGACATTCCTGAGCCGAGCTGAGCAGGGCAAATAGAAAGCAAACTGGGTGTCAAAAAAAGATTCATGGAATATCTCAGAAATAAATGTTCCATTCAAATAGCGCAATATTAAGTAATCATGGAAATTAATTATGAATGAAATTATTTAAAAGAGATAGGTCGTATTTATTATTGATAAATTGTAAATTATTGCTATGATTTTGCTTAACAATTCTTAATTTTCATAATGAACATTACATTACATTAAGATTAACATTAAATTAACATTAACATTTCATTAACATTTTCTAATATTTTTATGGTTATTATCACTCTTAATCCAATTATATATCTCATTGTGATTATCTCTCTCCTTATCAACATTACATTACATTAAGATTAACATTACATTAACATTAGCATTTCCTGTTACTTTTATGGCTACTATCACTCTCAATGTAATCATATATCTCATTGTGATTATCTCTCTCATTATTTATATTATTATTCTCATCCATTTGCATCATATTTACTACACTTATTAAATATAATTATTATTTATATAATATTTTTCACTATATTAATTTTTTTGGTAATTTTTTATCTCATACAACAGCTCCCTCTTATTATTTCCTACATCTACTCAAATTTTCTCCTCGTTTAGTGTCAACAACCTCTTCCAATACATTAAGTAACTAGTTAGAATGGCAATTAGTTAATGGCTTGTTTATGTCCAAACAAAACAGGGTATTACATAGTCTCCACATAGACGCATTTAAATGACAGCATCACAATTCACAATTGTTCGCAGTTAGCCGTGTGTGATTTTTAATTTGCCTTAGTTTTTGCTGTCATCCAGTCACAGTTGCAGCTGCAGTTGCAGTTGCAGTTGCAGTTACAGTTACTGTCACAGTTAGAGTCAGAGAGTTATAGTAAGTATGCCTCGTGGCTGCATGTGCTCATTGTGCATTTATGCCGTTAACGAACGGCACGGGCAACCGTAAAATGCAGATGCCGCCAACCGAGCAGGAGTTCGGCCCCCCCTCCCAATCCCGAACTGTGACTTCAGCATAAAGTAGCAAAAACTTTTTAATGTAGCTGCCACATAACGCTTGGCTTTTATTTGATGTTAGTGTGCGCCCACAGACGTGCTCTCCAGGCCCTGGTCCCGGCCCCCTGGCTCAGCCCTAGCACGCGCCCTAGTCCAAAAACTCCCGACTCATTGCCGACTATGTTATTCATTTGCAGGCATTGCCATTCACTTTCAACTAACTTTACTCTACTTCTCTTCTCTTCCCTTTGCGCCTCCCTCGGCGCTTCTCAGATTAAAAATCAAGCGAGCCATGCCCGGCGACACCGGCAACTACACCTGTGTGCCAACCGTCGCAAAAACCTCCAGCGTCTATGTGCACGTAATTATTGGTGAGTATATATGTGTGTGTATTTGTTTGTATATGTGTACTGTCTGTGAGTGAGTGTGTGTGTGTGTGCGTGTTGGCTGTGTGTGCCTGACAGTTTTGCATGTTTATGACAGGAAGTTGCCTGTTAGCAGCGCGCATTGCAATTTGAGCATTTCAACTGCACTGAATGCCAAGTGCACTCTCTCTACATGTGTGTGTGTGTGCGTGTGTGTGGGCGTAGCTGGAGGCTAGCATACACCGTTCAGTGTTTGTCTTTCCATACTCTGCATGGCAAGCAATAAAAACTGTGTGCTTTTTCGTCACTCTTTGCTAAGTAAATGCAACTTTTTTGTTGCACTGCTTGAAAAAAAAACTTCAAAAGGAATAAGCACTCAATCAGATCAAACGCAGTATATACTTTATATTAAGTTGGATTCATTGACGCTAGATTAGATTATTAAGTATTTTAATATACAAAATCCATTACATTGCAGAAGTTTTTCTAAAGTTTTTTCTAATTCTAAGTAATACGAGTCAAATATTTATCAGTAGATATTTTTGATACTTTGCTCTCAATTAAACTCTTGGTTTATTTTTTGAATATTCCAAGAGTTTACTATCTCATATATAATCCAGCTAATCGTAGGGTACCAGGCAGCCAATGCAAATGTTTCCAATAAAATTTGTATGGAGCAATCATACTAAAACTCAAAATTATGTTTAATGTTCAAATTTGTTGTTACGTCCGTCCGTTTTCCTATCTATGTATCTTTCTTTGTACTCGACAATTTACTATACTATACTATATACTATACATCAGAATTAATACCTATACAACAATACTTCAATAGTTCTTCGCTTTCCAAAGAAAACATATTATTTAGATTTAGTCACTTGAGATTATCTCAAATTCACATTCCAACTTTTCGCATTTAACAATTCAGCTTTTATAGGGTATTCAAGCTGTCGTTAGAGCACACAACTCTTGACAGCTTTGCGTTGTATATGCGTTAGCTTAGCCTGAAAAGAAGTGTGGAAATTATTTGCTTGCTAGCTAGAAAAGCCAATAATCAAGTCGGGCTACCCTATGAAAAGGCAGCCACAACAAAAACTTCAGATGCAGCTCTTGTGTGCTCAAGTGCTGTATATAAAAAGTTGCTGTTGTTGTTGCTGCTGTTGTGTGCTGTAGTTGCTTTAGTGTTTGCCTTGTTTGGCAAACAGGAAATGCGCACATGCAAAGGAAAGCTTCGATATTATCTGGCCCAGATTTTCAGGTGCAACTTTTGTTGATGTTGATGCTGCTGCTGATGATGCTGATGATGTTGATGTGCAAGATGAGTCTGAAGCACAGATTTCGCTACAGGCGATTGAACCTGGCATCCAAACAAAGGCAATCGGAAGCAGCAGCTAACAGCAACAACTACAGTTAAGAACAGCAACAACAACAAGAGCAACAAAAGCAGCTGCACCTTAGCTAAATGGCATCCTTTTACGCATGCGCTTGACTTACTTTTGACTGCTTTAACAATTAGCTAATGAATTGAAAAAGCACAAGCACAAGCAGAAGATGTTGCTCTAGTTGGATATGCACGACTCGGCTGATACCTTAAGGTTTATGTTGTGTGACTGAGAAATAAGTATTCTTGCTTTTAAGACAATTTCAAACTAGAAGACTAAAACAAAGAAGAGAAGAAATGAGTAAAAGTTTATTCTAAAATTTTTAAGTAAAGAAATTTTTAATAAATATATTTTATGGGCTCACGCCTTTGACTGCCTGTTAAATGTACCTTACTAAAACCTATATACCCCAGCTTACTCACACTGAATGCGCTCCAGGGTATATTTACAACTGTTTTCTTAACTAATTTGCACAGTTTTTCTTACGCTTCCTCTATTTGCTTTTCCATTTCTACTTGCAGGCGAACACCCGGCGGCCATGCAGCACAATTCAAGCAGCAACAGCAACAGTTTCTACTGCGGCATTTGTTGCATGCTGCTCAGCATTTTCTCCTGCTGCCTGCAGCATTGGTATGTGTGCGCAGCGCCTGCTGAGACAATGGCTGCGCTTTTCTTGCTGCCAACCAAAGAATTGTCACAGGCAGCGACAGCAACAACAACAGCAACAACAGCTACAACAGCAGCAACAGTTGCTGCTGCAGCCGTAACAGCCGTAACAGCCACAGCCACATTGAAAGCCCGCCCCCGCCGCCGCAGCACCAGCAGCAGCTCCCAGCAGAGTGGACTGAGATGAAGGAATGACAGTTCGCTTCTGGCCCACTGAGTTCCAGGTGATGATGTGGATGATGATGATCATGTTAATTGAGTTAATAATGACATTTAGTTAAATTAAAGCAAGCATTGAATTCGTATCTAAGATAAAATGCACTTAGTGAATAAAAAACAAACAAAACAAAACCAATAAGAAAATGAAAACATCTTTAGCTCTAAGCTCTCGATTTTTGGGTAAGTTAAGCCAAGCAGAAGGCATAATAAAAATATATATGAAATGATCTGTATATGAAAAGTCAAATAAGCAGTGCTTCATGCATATATATAATATGATATAAATATATACAGAAATAATATTTAATTATGATTTAAGCGAAATGTAGTTAAGCAAATGCGCAGTTGATCACAAGAATAGCAAAAGTGAAGAGTTTTGCAGCTAAGCTTTTTATATCTTTGTATTCAAGTTCACATTTAGCATGCTAAATTATAGGTTGTAAAAGCTGATTCCTCCTTAAATTTTTTAGTTTAAAACTAATGCAAATTGCGCTTTGCATAAAGGCCTTCTAATTCCCAACTAGTTCAAACATTCTTTATAACTTGCCAGTTTATCAATCCATAAATGAAGCAATCAATATATATTGCATCATCTGCTTTGTGCTTTTAGCTTCCTAATTCACAACTTATTCAAGCTGATTCTGGCTAAAGATTTGTAGTTCACAACTTATTCAAGCAACTGTCATTCACAATTCCATCAGGCAGACAAATTCTATATATATTTTTGTGATCTTCTGCTGCATTTGCTTCACTCTCACACACCCACACTCACCTCAATAGCAACACGTTAAAGTGAAAACAGAAATCTTGTCATTATGAAATAAGACTAACTAGGCTATGCATATGCTCTATACACAACTACAATACAAACTGTGCTCTCCAATCCACTCAGCATGTCACTCGAATCAACTTAAATCAAATCAAAATTGTGCAGCTTTCAACCTCTCTAAGTCGTTTTTCTAGCCCTCTCACCGTATGCATACTACTGTAGCTCACTGTGTACTCTATTGTAAGTATTAAGCATAATACTTGAATATTTGCTGTAAATAAATGCCATTTAGATATATATAGAGCTATAAATATATATTAACTGTTTTGTTTTGTAATTTCATATGGAGAAATTGGGAGCAGAAAGAAATGTTCGGTAGTCCGAAATTTAGATGCCCTTGTATAGAAGAATTTGTAAAAGAAGTTGTTTAAATAAATTTGAGATGTTTCAGTTTCTATATTTAAGGATGTATTTTGCAAGGAAATTTCATATGAGGAACAATTAAAGGAGTAGAGAGAGAGAGATATATATATATAGCTGAGAGTAACCCTGAACCCTGAGCAGAACTTTACCTTGCACGCAGAAAAAATTGTTTGTTCTGATGATCTAATGATTCTATAACCAACAAAACTTTTAGACATATGTATATCAAAAGTATGACAACAACAGAGCAAAAAATGAGAATGAATCTTGGATTGAACATCTTATGAAAGATCCTCTAGTCAACTTTCTAACTTTTCCGGGAGCAGAAAGGCAAATTCCTTTACTAAGTTTTTCAATACATGTAATAAATTGTATGGGAATCTGAGCTACTTTTTGTAAGGAATGAATTTGACCTATGCCTATATGCGGCTATAAAACCTTTTATCCAAATTCTTGCTCTACCAACGATTATACTTTATGGTGTATTCTTCAGCCTGCTACGGAAAGCTAATCATGAAACCACTTCAACTCCCACTTTCAATAGTTTTCAGGGTATAAAATGTCACAAATTGTTTAAGCTAATAAAGTTTGATAAGCATGTACAGACAAATACACACAAATTAAAAAATAAAAGATAATTAAACAATATATATGCGAATATATATATAAAAGTATATATAAATTTAAATATACGTGCTAACTAATTAGTATTGGCTGACATAAGAGCATATGACAAATGCAAATTAATAATGTGCTTAAACGGAAATCGAAATGCAAAAAGCAAAACACAAAAAAAAAAAAAAAAAAACAAATGAAAAAAAAAAAAAACGCACTGTAAATAAATTCATTAGTAGCGACTGTAGTTTTAATTAACTCTTAAATAAAATAAAACCTAAATGCAAAATGCAATTTAAATGTTTGTAAACTGTTTAATTTGTACACCACACGCAGCAGACACACATATAAATAAATAAATATATATATATACAGACATAATACATATAAATTTAAATAAATAACAATACAACAGAAATCAATAACAATTATGATAAAACACCTTTTGAATAAAACAAAAAAAAAGAGTGAAACGAAATGAGAAAAAAACAGATGCAAAATGCAAATAGAAAATGCAACAGATAAATGCAAAGCAGCAACAACAGCAACAAATAGAAGAAAAAAAGTTTAGATAAATTTCATAAACAAATACAAAACTACATAACTGCGTGTGTGTGTGTGTGTGTGAGTGTGTAAATGTGTGAATTTAGATTAAGCTATAAAAAAGTAGAGAAAATAAAAACTTTGCAGTTGGCTGCTGACGACTGCGCAATGCTCGCTCACAAGTTCAGACAAAAAAGGTAATTTGAGTATGAAAAAAAAAGTACCCCAAGCTGCAGCTGTAGATGCAGATGAGGAGAGAGGCAGCTGCAAAACTTTTGCCATTCTGAAAACTCTGGCAGACCATTAGAAGAAATATTTTCTTTTTTCTGCATACAAGTTGGTTTTTATTCCAAATACACGAAATTGGCTCGGATTGTCACAATCTCACTGAAAGAGCTTACTGGACTCGCTCCGAAGAACTACAAGCTGACCAATACAAAAAGATATAGCTCTTTGACATTCCAATTACCAATACAGATTTAAAATTTCACATCTATAAAACCAATATACTCTTCCTTTTCACACAAGTGAACGAGCATGCAACGACAAAAATAAATAAATGATTAAAAACATTTTGTAAATAAAATTGATTTTGCATTAATCGAAAAGACGATAACTAATATTTATTTATCTATATATGTATATGTATGCATAACACATACAGGTTTATAAGCGACACACACACACACACATGCACACATGCACAAACAAATGTGTCACTTAATGTGTGTTAACTATAAGAGCAAAACACTTTAGAGTTCATTCGAAGTCAACCGACGACATTATAACTAAGTATTTATGCATAGGTATATATATATGATATATAATATAAATATATATATACATAGATATATATATGTATGTGAACACAAATACACACTCACAATCACACTCATAAACACATATACACTGCAAGAGATTTAAACGAATTAAGATTAAAATTAATTATGGGTTAGAAAAATTAATAAAAAAAATTCAAAACGTCTTTTATTTGGATACTGAAATTGGAAATCATTATGTAAAGCGCTAAATTTGATGTTGGAAACACATAGATTTGTAGATTCTTCTCCTAATCGGATTAAATTATAATGAATGGTCTCCTAATATATCAGTTGAAATACCTTAAATGACGCAAATTATGATAAATGATCAAATATTTAAATCTTTGGGAGTAGAACAGAGGTCTGAATGGAGAGGAACTATAGAGAGATAAATTCCGATTAAAACAACATGGAATAACTATGAATACTCATATAAAACAATCAATGAAGTCTAGTGATTGGATGATAAAGACCGAAAAGGAGCGAGAAAAAAAGACAGTGATAGAGTGCCTAATCATAGAGATAAATTAGAGAAAAGAAATAGTTCTACGATAATATTCAATGAAACATTGATGCATGATATGTACATAGAGAGCGTAGCTCTCGATAGACGAAACCCTGCGCAATTGATGATTGAGTGATGCTCATTTACCCGATAATATCGTCCCGGTTAACGTGAACTCTAAATTTGACAAATACTTTAGTCTCTGGTGTTATAGTTCGAATACCCTCGAATATGGTAAGTTAAATTATGCGGTCAAAAACAATTTTTTTTTTTTTTTTTTTTTTTTTTTTTTAACCGTTCAACTAGAAGAGATGGGTAAATACCGTTTTAATACATGTCTTCTATGATCTTTGAAAACAATAACTTTAAGCGGAATTTTGCAAATTTTCTGCAAACTATTTCGTTTGTTCCCATGCTAATAATATAGTTAAATGATGTATCTAGTTTCTATTAGCTTATAACAAGTTTTCAATATATACCAAATCATGCCAACAGCCATATTAAGGGGTATAAAAATCGCATAAAGATGCTCCAGTTAAGCACGCGTATAACTAACAGAATACAGTTAATTATACAAATCGCTCAACAAAATGTCGAGCGATTACAAATTTTCTTGAGATGAACCAAAAACAAACCAAACTTGACTAACGCCCAAAAATGATAAACACGATCGAAGCAAGCTAAACTAAACTAGATGCGGCACAGCTGCTGCTTATCTTGGTGGCTTACACATGGTTCAAGAACCAGTTCCAGCCAACTCGCATTTAAATGCGTTCATTGACTCGACTTTGCTACGAATGTGTGCCATAATTTATTGAAATGGATTTTAGGGTAGAGTTTTTCGAGCTATTCCATGCCATATTCCATAGAAATCAAAATAATTGCAGTATTTGGCAAATATTTACCGTTTGTCTTAGACTAGACGAATGTATAAATAAGACTATCGTCTGGCATTGCGAGTCTCAGTTTTACTGATTGGACGACGGACAATGAATTCAGCGTGGCTTCGTCGTTTCGGCTTTCTATGTTTGGTATTGACTTGCTGCGAGGCGGGTACGTAAACAAACCAAGCGAGATTCAGTGGAATCAAATTGCAGAACGATTCACATTTGCAGCACCATCGACTGAGAAGGAGGAGCAGGCGGTGCGCGTCTATCCCATCAGCGAGGAGCAGTATGAACGCTTGCTGCAGATTACCGATGGCAATAATCTTATATCCGAGGGGCGTCTGACTACCGCCGGATTCGCTTCGGTGCGCAACACGCTCGGCTCGGGCTGGCAGTCGCTGCTGCGCATTGTCGGTTTCACCCCGACTCGCACGGATCAGCCAAAGATCGATATTGATGGGCAGCCTCTGTGTGTGATGAGGCGTAATGTATACGATGCTGAGTCGCTTGGCATAGAGGGCAGATCGGGAAACGGCGAGGAATCGGTCATCAATTGCATTGTGGTGCTTAAGCGGGATCCAGCATTGCAGTCCCTCAGCTCTAGCAATCCCGACTTTGCGCCCTATTGGTATCACGAACAAAGCGGAGAGCAGCAGCAGCAGCCAGCTGAGCTGAACTTTGCACCCGAGGCTGAACAGCAGCTGCAACGGGTCAGGACATCAACAACTACAATTGCGCCAAAGGTAACTAGGAAGCGTAACAAAGCCAAATCCAAATCCGTATCCAAGAACAAGAAGAAGAACCAGAACAAGAAAAGGGCACGCCCATCTCTCAAATCTGTATATGCTGTGGCTGCTCCTCGTCAATATGGCTCACCCTACGGACCACCTGCACCACCACTGCCACAACTGCCACCACCTCCGCCACCAGTGCCAGCGGCACCATATGGCAGTGCCTATGGCGGTGCTTATCCCTTCCCTAGCTACGGCCAGTACAATCCCTATGCAGCCTACAGCCAACAACTGCCTTTTAGCCCTCAATCAGCTTTTGGCCAACAGCCCTATCCATATTCGCCGCAGTATTACGGACAGAGCCCCTACTACAATCCCCTTGCCTATTACGAGCAACAAGATAAAGAGGAAGAGGACATTGATGAGGACGATGAAGACGAAGAGTATGGCCATGATTTGCATGTGGAGTCAGAAGACGAAGACTATTATGAATAAAGATCATATAAAATATACTTAAATGAATATATGAATACTGTTTGAATTTTAGAGGTAAATTAATGATAGCCAATCAAAGGGCTAAAGTTATGGTTTAAATGGAACATGAGATGTGCAAGAAACTTTTTCTGCAAGCAATATATAATTGTTCGAAAAGCATTTAGATATTAGATATCTAGAATTGAGACTTGCCATAGACAAATGTAAAGTTTTGAAAAGAATGAAAAGCTGCTTAAGAGTTTTTCCATGAATTCATCTGTGAATTCATATAAATACTTGACCCATGTCTGAACGTAATCTTGATCTTTGCTGGAGTTACAAATTAAGAATAAACTATTTCTGAAGTAGGCAATACTCTAACTCTAAGTTCCATGCGCTGAAAATAATTGTCAGCTCGCCAATAAAACTAACTATGTTCAACAATTGCTGAAAATCTGCGGGCTGGAAAAAGCTTAGCAATTTCTTTAATTTAGATAAAACTTATGATTTAGCCGGAATCCATCAGAATCTGTGATATATAATAAACATCATTCACAGATGATCTAGAGAGTAAACTGTGTTTCGTGCCTGTCTAAGGGAAGTTATCTTAAAGCCCAGACCTGAAAGTTAAATTCATTCCAGTCGCAAATGCAGGAAGTGTTGGCTACTTTATAGTAATTCATATATGAATATTTCAATTTAATTAATTTTCTTACAGCAAAAAGTTTACAGCAGCGATACAGCAAATCATGAAAAATTTAATTTACCCATTAATTAAATCTTTTTAAAATAAGTTTTAAATTTGATATCAAATCCAAAATTAATGGAGGAATGTAAAAAAAACATAAAGCCTTATTTGTAAAGCTTTATATATTCATTTCCATTTACATGTGCCCAACTAGAATCTTTTCTAGACTTAAATAAACAACGCCAATCGAGCTGCTCTCAATATCTGATTACTAAATAGCCATTAGCTCCGCCTTATATGTACATTTATCCATTTTCACTTTAATCAACTCGTCTCCGTTCTTGCCAAATTTTCAAATATCATTCTGTTGCTCCCAACAGCCGCCGAGACACGTTAATAAATAAACAGTTATCTCATAAATGCGAACAGCGATCATTAAAACCAAATCGTGGCTTTTTTTTTTTTTTGTCGACTTCGCATTGTCTGTTAAGGCTTGGCCTAACGAATTCCTCTCAGAACTGGGTCGGCGCGTAAATTATGTATCAAAGAAAGAAAAAGAAAACTAACAAACAGATTGTTCATATTAATGTTTTGATTTTTATGGGGTGCTGTAATTTAAATGATAATGCCATACGAGTCTTTATAAAGATGTTGCCTCTAGCCATAGCTAGTTATTCGAACAGAACGCTCGAAAGGCCAGAGATGAAGATTTTGCCACTTGTTGCGCTTCTGGCGCTATGCGCAGTCGCAGCCGATGCTGGTGAGTCCTTCAATGATCCCAATTGCAGGATGTGAGTGAGAGTTTGATTTGTTACCTTTGCAGCTCGTACGCAGCTGCTGCGCATTCACGAGGTTACTCAGCAGGAGTATAACGATTTGCTCCGCCTAACCAGAGGCGGATCGGAGGTGTCAGAGTCACGCCTGCTGCGCAGCCCGCTCAGCGGCTTGGCCAACTTCGCTCAATCGCTTTCCTTCGAAGGCAACAAGCCAAGTTCCGCTGCCAAGCGCTATCCACTGTGCGTTGTCTCGCCACAGGATAGGGATGGACGTCATATCACCTGGAACGCAGGCGGCTCTAACGATGAGAAGTATGATGACAAGTTCGAGTATGAGGGTGGACATGGACATGATCATGACGGTGTTCATGATGATGATGATGACGACACCGATAAGGATAAGGACGACAAAGCTGGTCGCCCTGTTGTTAACTGCATTGTAGTGGTCAAGGGTGACAAGGATAAAGATCGTGACTCTAACCATCATGTCGTTCCCGGTCCCAAGCCAGGCCCCCCTATTGGTCCTCAACCAGGTCCCCCCAATTACAGTAGCGACTATCCGTTGGAGCTGTGGAAGTGGTATCAACAGTTTGGCAGGTGGCTTAGCCAATTCCCTTGTGATCCGAAAGTGCAAAGGTGCCCTTAAAGGGTGCGACAGCTCTTTAAAATCAAATAAGGAATATTTAATGAAATAAAAAACAAACGAATTTATATTGCAAAATATATAAAGTAATAAACAATGTGTTTGAATTTTGCTTTTTTGATAGCTCGAATCGGATTTTAATTCGAATTCCAAAATGTATTAAGTTGAGTAAGTAAATATAAAATATAATCTATGTTAAGATATCTATCTGAAAAGCCGTTTTCAGAATTCGATAGGAGTAAACTCAAATAGAGCAGTGTGCGTAGCTCTAGTTGCTCTACTAAATATCTCCAACGATATCTAAATTATTCCAATTGGAATTCAACTTGGACTTGCTAGATGCTGCATTCTGAAAAAAAAAATCGAATGCTAATTTTCGCGTTTCTTCTCAGTTGAGTGAACGATCGAAAGTGTTACAAGGTCCGTGAACTAACAATGCAGGGGAAACAAATAAGAGAAAGCACCACTACCAAATACCCTGTATTTGTTGTTGTCAGCGAAGGTTTAACTGTCTGCAGCGAAAGGAAAAGCTTTCTATGCTTTATAAGAAAAGTGAACTTGCATTCGAAAAGAATTTAAGAATTCTAGAGAACGACAATAAATGTTTTTGTTTTTATATACAGTTTTATAGGTATTGTTCTTTAACTTTCATTTATAAGATATGCCTTTGATATTTATTATTTACTTCTGCATAACGAATGTTGGAGAAAGTGAACGCATAAGTTCTATGAAAAGAATATTTCATAAATACGAAAAGGTCAAGTCTATAAATCTTTGTATCTGACAACAATCAAAAACTTTCTTTAAAAGTTTTGTGTTTATAATGAAAGAATATAGTGTGTATAAGCTGTAGCAAAAGACAGTGTCAAAAGATTCCTGTAGACATGGCTTTCTGTGTCTCACATGCCCTAATGCTAGCGCAGTTCTCAACGTTTACAGGGTATATAAAGGCCTGATCTAGGCAACAAAACAAGGCCACCCATGTAAACAAGTGACACAACACTGTCACTTCCACACACACGCCTACACACACACAGCCGCATTCGCCTACACACATGGCTGGCTTTTGTAGGAGCTGCCGTTGGCGGCACATTCGAACAACAGCAAGGACAACGCGCTGGGCTAGGCGACTGAAAGAGAATAAATTAAAGAACAACTCAAAATATCTGCGGGGCAATTTTTACCCAGCAGTGAAAGTAACTGAGTCTGTTTGTGTGTGTGTGTGTGTGTGTGTGTGTGCCCTGTCGTTGCGTATGTGTGCCGATTTGCTTGCCTACGCCTGTTTGCTGTTAAGTGCAAGTGCATCGATAGCAACACACACAGCAGCAAACAGAAAGGCAGAGAGGGAGAGCGATTGCTAGCGTGCGACTAAGATAGAGAGATAGAGCTGAGATAAGCGCCCCGCCTGGGCTGTCTCTATGCAACTGCAAAATAATTACTTTCATATCCAGCGGCAATTAAATTCATTTAGTTTGGCACCAATTTTCCTGCTACGAACTGTCACAGCAACGAGTGGGTGTAGCCTAAGCGGCATGTGCTTGACTAATACATACCCTAGGTGGAATTTGAGTATACTAAAGCAGATGATGTATGACAAGCGTAGCTCTCAAAGTGCCTGACTTATAGCTTGAATAATATTTCTAACTGTATGTACATATATATCGATAAATTGTAGAATTTATCGATATTTTGTATATTATAGCCACCGATTCCACCAATTTCATATTCTTTTCGCTCGCTTGCCAGAGTCTTACATGCTTTGCAGTTGCCTGCCGCACTCGTACATTCCGCACCAATATACCCACTTCCCACATTCACTGCAGGGTATTACAACAACAATGTGTAAGAGGCACACTATTAAGACATTCATTCATTCCACATTCAAACGTAGGCTAGAGCTCTTGCCAGCTTGGCTGTTGAACCTGCTGACCCACCCAGCCCATCAGCCACGCCTTCTGCCCCCACTCTCCTCTCCTATACTCTTACACCCACCCGCCCGTTAGCTCGTCTGGTCGGGCAACTCTCTAAACTATGTCAACTGTTAACTTTTTTAGCCGCTAGCATTCCGCGCGCATGGCTTACATATTTTTTTCAAGGACCCACGCACAGCTGCCACGCCCACCAGCGCTGAAAGCTAAACAATAAATTGCTTTAGGCCTGTGCAGCTAGTGGCACAAATCTGTATGCTGGAGTCGGAATTTATTAGATATCGATTTAATTGTGAAATTTCTCGCCAAATAAATGATCAAATAATTCATTTTAATCGAGCTCAATCAATTGTTACTTGATATCCCAGATTAGAATTTTGCTAAGCGAATACAAATTAAATTCGTAAATCTGGCAAATTGATGATTGACTGATTGAGGAATTGTTAATGAACACAGCGTGGCAGATTGTGAAGATGTTTAAGCTGAGAACTTGTATTACAAATTCAGTTTAACTTAAGTTTTATATATATAAGTATAAATATATTTGCATATTAAATATAAATATAATTTTAAATTATTTTGGCTTAATGCTTGTTATGATAGATCCATATGAAATGCTTACACAAATATGCTAGAAACATATATATATACATATATAATATACACCTATCTGTCTTGGAGAAAGTATCTATAGAGTCAGGTCTAAGTCAGAGAGATGCCTAGACAAGAGTATACGGCTTCGATGTATATGTATCATGACAGAGAAACTGTGAGCAGGACACAGGATTTTACTAGAGCAAGCTCAAGCCAAAAATGTTTTCAGTCGGTAAACAGTTTGGTAAGTTCGACACACCGACCAGGCCAACAAACCATTTGCATAAACCATTTTCACCTAGGCCTGATTGGCCTAATAAATTGATTGACTAATTGAATTACAGACTAGGCGACAATGCCAGCGAGCTAAGATTTGATTTCGATTATAATTAACTGATTGACTGATGGATAAATA